AGTGCACAGCCGCTATTATTTAGCTTCATCTCTCAGTATGTTTTCAGGTATGAAGACCTCTGAGGTTAACCTTTTTTTTTTGCTTTGTCCTTTAAAATGCAAACTAACTCCTGCAGTTAAAACTGACTGCGTGACTGCAGCCCGGCACTACTGTAACCAGTTTTTTTATTTTCTTTCACACATTCAGATTGCTCGTGAAGCAGAGGCAGCCATGTTCCACAGGCAGATGTTCGAGGAGCTTCGTCGCACCTCTCATCTGACCCGTGACCCCACAGAGACTGTCGCTATCGGGGCCGTCGAAGCTTCCTTCAAGTGCTGCGCCAGCGCCATCATTGTGCTCACCAAGTCTGGAAGGTGAGACTCAAAGAAGAGATCTATCTTGTAAATTTCCTCTGCAGTGCTCTGACTCATAATGTCCTCTACGGTGCCCACTGTGAGCAAAGAAACTGGTGCATTATAATATCTCTCTACCCCTCCGCCTCTGCTCCCTCCCTCGGCTCATATGAAATGTGCCAACTTCCACGGCACTCACAATTTGTGCTCCACTTGTGACCTTTTGAGATCTGAACCCTGACATTTTACAAGTTAATTTTAACTCCCTGTTCAGGCCTCTCTATTTGGGAGTTCATCCACACAACACATGATCGAGGACGTACTGCTGTCAGCTGGATGGATTTCCTACTGATAATGGCATATTTAAAGCAGCTATATACTATGTCCATGGATCATATTACTCTGCTGTTCCCCTCAGCTCTATGGAACTTTATAGTGATGGCCCTTAATGCCATTGTATAGTTTTTTTTGTAAATTGAGGTTTAAATACAAATATTTTAAACATTTTTGTAATAATTTGTACCTGTTACATGCAGGTCTGCTCACATGCTGTCGAGGTACAGGCCCCGTGCCCCCATCATTGCCGTGACCCGCTGTGGCCAGACCGCTCGCCAGGCACACCTGTACCGTGGTATCTACCCCGTGCTCTACACCAAGCCTGCCAACGATGTCTGGGCCGAGGACGTTGACCTGCGTGTGAACTTTGCCCTGGAATTTGGTGAGTGTTTTGTTGCGTCAAATATGAAAGACTTTTAGAAGTAGAGTGAAATTATTAGAAGGCTCAACACGGCAGCCTCCGTGGAAGGCAACCTGCGGTGTCTGTAGATTAAAAGGCTCATTCTAAGGTAATAAACACATAATAATTCTTATTTCCAGGTGATTACACACTAATGAAAACATATCTATGCATATTATATATTTAATTTCTGCCAATAGATCTTCCTAAATGTTACACATTGGACCTTTAACTGAATCTCTTTTTTTACACTGACACCTCTCTGTTCTCTATCCATAGGCAAGCACCGCAAATTCTTTAAGTCCGGTGATGTGGCCATTGTTGTTACTGGCTGGCGCCCCGGTTCCGGTTACACCAACACTATGAGAGTTGTGCTGGTGCCTTGAACTTCATCAAAGGACATTAGTAACCGCTCCCCCTCCCCTCTCCTGTAACCTGCGTGCCCCCTCTGTCAGACTGTTTTTTTCTGTTGGTCCGATAACTGACAGACACTCAAAACCAGGCCGCTCCTTCAAAGGACTTTGGAGGGTGTCGTTCACATTAACTCTCTGATTCCTGTCTCCCATATGTGTAATTTATTGTCTAAATCCTGCTGCCAGACACTGAACTTAAAACCTTTTAGTGGAAACTCTGTTGTGTGTGTGCTGACTCTGTTTGCATGATGAACACAGTGGAAGTCAGTGTTTCTCAGCATGCACTGTGAACTAAACTCCAAGTACATGTTACGTAATTTCTTTGGTTTTGGGTTCTTTATTTGTCCAGGGATAAACATACATATGCACTGATATTCTCCACTGTTTCATGCTGAACTCACAGTTGGTACAATGTGTACTTGTGAAGTAATCTACGACTACGTCTATGACTTTCCATCCATTAAAAGGAATTCTGGGGTCAACTGTGTTTGTCTTTTTCTTGTACTTACTGTCCCACTAAACTGAGACAAGAGTCATTTTTCATTCAGTATTTTTCAGTACTATAAGCACCTCTGTGAGATACAGGGAGAGATGCAACAAACCAGCTACAGTGCATATCAGTAGTATGATGTTACTAAAAGATTGAAACTGCTAAATTATCTAATGTGTCAAAAAACAAGAAGATAAAATAAATGAGCAAAAAAGTTGATCGTTTAGATTCAGTATTAGACAATATCACTGTTGGACACGACAACACAAAGTCTCAGTCTGATTTTTATACTAAGTTAATGGCACCTTACCGTTTTTTTCAGGTATCTACTTAACATATTTATTCTTCTTTTAACCTTAACTTTTACTCCCTACATTTTCACGCAAACATCTGCACTTGTGCTACAGTTTTAATGGATTTGAGGGGAATTATCATTTTCTTTTTCTTTTTTTGCATCACTGCACGCCTTCCCAACATCAAGGCCGGTGAATATCACACATAATGGACGTGACAAGATGAAAATGACGACCTGAGAGGGAGATTTGACCCTGTTTGAAGTTTTCACTTTTTTAACACAAGTATCTGTACTTTTGCTACCATTGCATCTTTATGACAAGTCCAAATAGTACCTCTGTAGTTGAGGTCAAGGGAATTATTCACGACACATTTATAAAGGCATTTGACACTGTAATAACAAGTCGCAATGATACCACTTAATGTCAAGTTGTCGTAACAAAGACATCTTAAACAATGTCAACTTTGCATTCAAATTTATATAATTGACCAAATGTCACTTAACGATTACAGTCATAAACATTCAGAGAATCTTTCATGTTCATGACAGGTGCCATGTCAGTTTTATGCTCACCCCTTCAAATTGAGTGTTACCAAATATTTCATATTGAACACTAAGGGCCTCCATAACAATCAGACCTCCAGAAAGCTCCAGTGAGTAAGTATTGTAGACTGTTTTAGTGGTTGGAAAAATACTTGTACATGGGTAAAGCCTGCAATACCTCATAGGAAAAATTGTATCAGACTATATTATAAATGCAATCTTCAAGTTAAGTTTAGTTAGTTTAGTTACTTTGGATTGACATAGCAGCTTCATCTTAAAGTAAGTTTTATGTTGTTTTTTTTTAATTAAATATCTAGATTTTCTTACATCACTCCATGAACACATGAGCAAATAGTTTTCTTTGTATTGACGAGTCAAATATTTGACAGATTATAATCCTGGCTATTTTGAATGTTGGCACCATGCAGTTCTCAATTTATAATCCGGCTTAAAGTCTGAAACTTCACCAGCGTTTTATCAGCTTCTCCATCGTGCCACACTCTGCTCTTGGAAAGAAATCACCAGCTAGGACGAGCATCATTGACTATATGGTATTTTATTGCATTGAATTCAGTAGCTAAAATAAAATATGCCTAACATACATAGGTGATGGAATCCTCAGATTTGTTGGTTAAAAGGCAGCAAAATGAGATATAAATATATAAATGCATGAATGACTGACACCTCCTCTCTTGCACACACTTTTTTTAAGTTGAATGCACTCAAAGTAACCTCACACTCAATCCGAGCTGATGCCTCTGGCAGGTGGTGTGGTGATGCGGGGTTGGAGGAGAATAGTAATGAGGGATTGATCGAGCCCATTGGCAGTTACTGGCTAGTGACTGATAGTATCTCTCCTCCTTCGGGGGGGTCAGAGTCACAGCACACCTCAGGTTCAGTGACCAGGCATCTAAAGCCACTGGACAGGATCCTTCGATGGTTTGACCTGCTGACCAGCTAGCTGCTCACAGTTCCTTGCTAGCCGCAGGTCCAGAGTGAGGGAGAGAGAGATCTAAACACATGGACTTATTAACAAGTAGAAGTATTTAAGAGTCTGTTTTTTAAAAAAAGCAGTCATTGATACAAGTCTTATTGATTCAGCATAGCATCACAAAGCAGCAATTGTTCAACAATACATGTCAACTTTTACAATCAAATAATGTAAAATGAAAGAGGTAAATATTTAGCAATATGACCCAACAGGGTTCCTTGTTAACCGTGTGTCCAAGTAACTGCTTTTAGCCCTTTGACTGGTGCAAGAAACATTCAGATCAGTCTTGGTGCATTGCTGGTTTCAGGATGTTTGATTATCCACAGTTGCTTTTTATTCCATTTAATTCCATGTTTTTATCAGTTCTAACTAAAAACATAACATCACTCACAACTCTCTTTGACTCAAGTGCTTTGATTCACAGTACCTTTGTAGACCCATAAAAAAACACAGATTATTGCATACTATGCTGATGGCACACAAACCTTGGCTCAGGTGTATGTTTTGTACCAGAGTTATTGTCAGACTGAAATGAGTTGGCATCAGGTTGTGCGCATCGCGCCGGAGCAGTCACAGAGGGACGAAACGAACATGTGTGCATTGTCTCTGAATCTGGTTACAACTTCCATCATTTCAACACATTCAAGAATTAATCCCACGTCTCCCACTCAGACAGCCAAACATTACATTACATTCATTACTTCAGTTTTTTTGAATGCGATTTGATTTGTGTGACCCATTTGGGTGTGCAATATTGCTGAAACACTATCTTGGAAGACTTGCCGTCATCAAACCATTACGTTAGGTGATCTCTGAAACGAGCAAAGTGCACAGTCTGTCTCTCCTCTAATCTCTTAAGGGATCATTCACCTGCATTCACCTGATACACTCAAGTGGTGGAAAGGGATATAAAAAAGGACAATATTTTTTGGTTTCAATCATAACTGGACACAGTTGTGGACAAATTTCCAACTAAACAGGTGTAGCTAAAAGGTTACACAAAATTGCTTGGACAATGGGGTTTAAACAAATACTTATAACAAATCACAGAGTGTGGTTATAATACAACACATAGAACAATTGATATTTTTATGAGGTGCTATATATACCCATCAATAGGTTTTGGATTTTATTACTATTTTCAAAGACGCAATATCCTGTAGAAAAAGAATATCCATCATCGTCTATTATTATCCACGATCCATTCGTTCCGATTAAAAATGAAACCACTGGTCTCCGATCCAAGTATAGAAACACACCCTCCTTCTTTAAAATTTGACAAAATAGTGGTTAAAACAATGCAGAGAAAGAGAAGATATCCCTTCTTTTGTTCAGGCATTAAAGGAGGGTGTGTCTGAACCTCACAAATTGGATGGAAGTTTGGACTGTTTGTGTTCGGTCTCTAACATCTTAGCAGGGGATCTAGCGTGGGGAGAATGGACACCAACGGACTGGTTCTGAGGTTTGGGCTCTGAATGTGTCCGACTGACAGGAGTTGCTTGACCCGGGATCGGGCTGTAGGGTTTACTAACAGGCATGGGAAAGGAGAAGGGGCCTGATGTCCCCGCTACCCCCTTTGAGGAGCCGCTCATGGCCAAAGGCCTTTCCTGGTGTATAGAGCTGTGAGAGCCTGAGATAGTCTTTATTTCCTGGGTAAAGAGATCCACCGAGGAGTCGGCCCTCTCTTTGAGGGTACAGGGCACCCTGGCAGGGCATGAGGTCTGGGGGGTTAGAGGGCTGTGAGAGCCCACGTTGCTGGGGAACTCACTGTGGTAAAATGTCCTTCCTCTCACAGGGCTCTGTATGCTGGGACTGTGGACTGGAGGAGTGTAGCAGGGCGAGGCTTCAGCAGAGCCGTACTGGGCCAGGGAGGCGAGGGCCGAGTGCTCGGGGAGAACCTGGGGGAGGAAAACAGACTGGAGACCTGCAAGGCTGTGCTGCGCCAGAGAGGCTGCGGCCCCGGCTCCGACTGCAGACCCTGGGTGAGTATATCCACTGGAGGAGTGGGTGCTGGTGATGAAGGGAATATGCGGGAGGTTCAGACCACTGGATGTCCTGCCTGCTCTGGCATGACTGTACCCAAGCTGCTGCGGGGTGGCGTGAGAGGTCTGCTGCAGCTGGCTTAGTATGGGACTGACTGAGCTTGAGATCAGAGGGCTTATGGTGGAGGCAGATGGGGCTGGGAATCTCCCTACTAGTCTCCCTGGCACCCCCTGCTGGAGTAAACCTATTGGGTGTGGCGGGGTGGTCATAGCACCATGGAAGGGCTGAGAGTGGAGCTGAGCGGAGCAGGTGTAGGAGACAGTGGCCTGGCTGGTGGGGAAGACTGAGGCCATGCCGGAGTGGGGAGGATGGGGTGGGGGCTGGTGTGAGGGCAGAGGGCCCAGAGGCTGCAGGCTACTGGTGAAGATGGGCTGGGACATCAGTGTGGGTGACACAGGTCCAGCGGAGAGATGGTGTGTCCTGAGGGACGCCAGTGTGGGAATCTCAATTCCAGATCTGAATTTGGTGGAGCTGGCAGGAGAACTGGGCCCCGAACCACAGGTGCTAGACGTGTTCGCTCCAATGTGGACTCTCTTTGGATAGCTGGTGTGGTCCCTCAGGGAGCCTGGTGCCAGAGGATGGTGGAAGAGAATGGGTGGCAGCTGAGATTGGTGGGCCAAGGCCAGAGCCAGTGGGGTGGTGGCAGCAGCAGCCTGGAGCGGGGCCTGAACTAGGGGGGCCCAGATGACGGGGGTGGGAGATGGGGGTGCAGGGGTAGGGTTTAGGCTGGTCTGGATCAGATGCGTGCATTGGGCCATGTCACGGTCATGTTGCACTATTCTTTGGATGATCTCGCTCTCTTGAAAGTTCAGAGTGCCAGAACTTTGGTGATGCTGGACTTTATGTTGAAGAACAGAGTTCCTCTTTCCTGTTAAGAAAATACAAATAAGGCCATGCTTTTTCATTAATGAGCTACATACTACATATTATTAGGACTTCAGCTCCATAGCCTTGTCTCTCTTAACAAGAGGGTTTAAATGTGGTAGCATAACACATATTTATATAGCTGCAACCAAGTTACATGATTGTTGTGTGAGGCATTACAGTACAGCAGGACTGAGTAGGATCCAAAACTTAGTACCGAGTATAAACCTTCAAATGACTCATTTGTTATTCTATACACACACAACTCTTCCTGTAGATGAAAGCAAAAAGGGTTTATTAATCCATTGGCCCTTGCTAAACACAAAGACTTTTCCAAAATTGCATTTTGTCTATAAATTCCACAACAAGTTCCAAAAATCAGTTGGAAAACTGTGCAGCTCCACTCTCAACCCACATGCACCTAACTATCTCAGTCTCAAACGGACATGCATGTATTTCTGTTAAATTATTAAAATTAAACCTTTAAACACTACACCCAGTCACTCCCGATTAGACACTCCCAGAAATGTATAAAAAACTCTTTATTCCTCCCAACCATTGGAGGGCAGAACAAAGACACGACATATGTGAATTAAAATATCGACATTTCACATTTATAATCATGTTTAATTTGGTTAATATTTTACTTTAGTTTGTTTGTTGTTCATCATATTTTTACATTTGTAACAGCCTGAGAAAGATCCCTTATGCTGAGATTGTGGATGTATTAATGATGTGAGAATAATGAGGACCTAATTTACTTTAGGAATCAAATTTAATCCATTGTTTAATGCGAGTGTTGTGATTGTAATATTTCCTTTTTGTGGCTCAAAGAAAAACATCTATTCATTCATCCTTGACTTCTTTTAATAAATTGTTGGAACAGCTTTGTTGCATCCTGTGCCCCATATATCACATATTCTGTCCGCTGAAGCCACCACCAAAAACACATACACACACAATAGACCAGCCTTAAACATAATATATGCAGCATAGAATCAAAAATTAAACATCAACACAGAAATAATTATTAATATTTAACTCTAACACCTGAAATGAAACACGTTTTATCTCTTGAGAAAGGACTCACCGATGCGATCCAAGCGGTCCAGAGCCACAGTCTCAAAGGCCCTCCTCATCATGGGAAACTCCTCCAGCACCTCGTTGAAGTTGTCCACCGACAAAGAGTACAGCCGACAGTAGTTATCTGCTCGCACGCTGGCTGTCCTCCTGCCTCGGGTCAGCAGGCAGATCTCTGCAAGCAGGAGGAAAAACAGCTCAATTATTTGCACCATTTCTTTAAAACATGTCACAGATTAACATTTTTTTTAAATAATATTAGTAAATATTTTAAATTGCTATATGATGATTTTTCTCGTTTCTCATACATACAATCTGTGCAATACCTTACAACCATATTTAGGTCTTTTTGGATCGATTCATAAAAGGAAAGGCAAAAATAGTTTTATTAGTGTGAGACGATAAAACATGAAAAGGCCGATGCCTCTGAACCCCACAGATGGAGCACTTAATGCAATTTCTGCAGCTTACAGTTTGTCCTGACCTCATCTGTCGTGCCAGATCAGAAAAATAAAATAATGCCCCATTTAAAAAAAAAAAAAAAGTAGACATATTTTTCAGGACAGACATATTGAGGATATACAAACACACACACACAGACAGACATAGACAGACACACAGAGACTCTCTCTCTTCTCTGTCCTGTTTATCAATTTAATCTATTTATTACACAGGACAACATGGACTTTATGAAATGTATTTTGCCAGGTGTTGGTTTTAAGCACCTGGTTTTCTGTCCTCATTTACCTTTCCTGTGTGTGTCGAGTAGTTAAACTACACAATGTTTTGTAATTACAATATCATTCTTGTATAAAAAATGTGTACTGGATTATGGTTAAATTAAAATGTGGTTAGAAATAATCTCCATACCTTGGTACCAAAAAAAAGATGCTTGGGTTTTTGGATCACACTACTTTTAGCTGAAAATGCAAGTACTTTGCTACACAGCTGGATGCAGACGACAACGTAACAAGGGCGAGAACAAATGAAAAGTTCTGGATTTCAGCTTTAAATATGGTGTTAACAAAAGGGAAAACCCCACAAATGGAATCAAAGATCACAAAGCTTTGCTCCTCTTAGTCCCAAGCCCTTTTAAGGAGATGATGTGGACAGTTTTTCCCAGCTGTATCAGTCAGGGAAGTTAATCTGCTGAGTGCCAGAGCAAAATAAATCAAAACAAATCATACTATCACCACTCCTTCACATACATTCAAACTGATCCACTGCCAGCTCCAGAATATATTAACATGCAGTACAAACAGCAGGTTGTGTGCAGACATTACCTCCAAAATAAGAGCCGTCAGACAGCTTGGTGTCTATGCTGTTCTTGGTCAGGACACTGACGACGCCATGCTGGATGAAGTACATCTTCTTGCCAATGGTTCCCTCTCTGATGATGTAGTCGCCCGGCTGGAAGACCTCGAAGCGCAGTTTGGTCAACATGGAGGTAACAAAGTTTGGATCGGCGTTGGCGAACAGAGGCATGGAGGCCACCAGTTTACGACAGTTAAAGTTGATGATCTCCTGCAGAAGAAAGAAAACACAAACAAAAGTGTTACTGCACGTGTATATTTCAATTATTATAAAAGCAGAGTGGTTAGTGGTGGCTTAATGCTCTGTTAATGAGGTTCTCTGTCCTCATAAAGTCTCCAGCCATTACTAATCAGATTACATGACTATTAACATTATCGTGCAACGTAAGAGTCATGTTAGATTAGATTACACAAATAATTAACTCTTAGCCATTTAGAACAAGGAGGCTCACTTAATTAATTCACATATTTGACACTAAGAACCATAAAACATTTAAAATAATGAAATAACATAGATTTCTAAACATTTTTTTCTCCCCCTTTAGCGTACATAAGCACTATATAAACATTTAATAAATGGGTTATAACACACAATAATGTTGAAAGGAGCTATATAAACATTTTAAGTGGTTAATAATGCATTTTTTTTAACAATTACAAATTATCTGTTATTTATAATAGTATTTTAATATTACTAAAACTTTTAAATATATTATCTTCATTATCTGTTTATACAGCAGCCTCCACTTCTGGATGCACACAGGAGTTACATCTGGTGACAAATACAAAAATAAACACTTATATATCAGCTAACTACAGTACACTACATTAAAGTGTGTTATAAACATTTATTATACTTTTATATACTGCTTATAGAGGTAGGAGTTGTGGTGGACATTGACGGCAACATTATGATGACTCAGCTGGATTATTAGCAAGACAACAACAGTAAGGTAGATGACTCCTGACCTGTCGCAGTGGCTCATTCAGCTCCTCCAAAATGCTTTCCTCATCGAACATCTTGCCCTGATAACGGTGTTCGTAGTAGTCGTGGATCCGCTGGCGCATGTCGGCAGGGAGCTTGTGGAAGGACATGTATTGCTCCACCTGTTTATACTGTAACAATAACAACAACAAGTCCAGTTATAAAAATTATAACGTCAATAAAAGCTTGAAGTGAACAACCACCACATAAATATATGTAACTGTAATGTAACTGCCTGTGTGTCTAAGACAAAATGCAAAGTCATGTCAAAATGACTATATTAACCTGATTGATGTGTTGGCTCAGAGGTGGACTATAATGTGCCTCATTATGTTAACAGTCAACTGTCAGGCCATCTGTGAAACCTGCTCACAGAGCAATGCTGTGCCTCTGTCCCATCTGACAGATACAGTTGTGCTCTGCAGGCTGCAGCTAATAACATTAACCACTGTGTCCTTCAGTGTTGTACTCTACCAGCGAGGCACATATGAATGGTCCTTGTACCCAATCTATGTATGTTATGTCCTGTTGTTAGTCATCTCCTTCTAATATCTTTCTTTTTTCTGTGTTAAAAATCCACAACAGCATCTCTTTTCAGCTATTTACAGTCTCCTTCTGTGGGACGTTTTTTCTGAGGCTGTCCATAGTGTCGACCAAAGCTGCACCTTGTCACCGAGACAAAAGTATCAGGGGATTGTTGCAACACCGACATTTTCTTTTGTAACACAGCACTTTTGCATGTGCTAACTGTACTACCTGCTGCCACTAGCTAGTTAGGGGTCCTATTTGCTGACTGAAAGCTCAAAGTACCGGCAGGGTTTGTTTACTCACAGTCCCGGCCACAGTGGTCACGGCTGGGACTGAACACAGGTGATTAACAGTGGCTCCAACCAGGACTATGACTTCTAGAACAATGAAGACATTGCGGGTCCTCCATCGAATCAATAAGTCTGCAAGTATTTATTTTAATGAGGTTGGAAGTTATTTATTCCACATTTTGAACAACGAGACCTGTGTGATTTGTGATTATTCTGTTGTAATAAATTAACAAAATGTTTAGTCTCCTTGCTTGTTGTTCTGACATGTTCAGAATCATTACTGCTTTTTTTGTTATCATTTAACCGGCTGTTAAATTATATATATTTAAATAATTTCAGTTAATATCATAAACGTTTGACGACTAGTCGACAAATGGCTTGAACTAACAACTTAAAAGTCTTAAGTCGGGGACAGCCCTCGTTTTCTCACTTACAAAAGATTTACATTACACCAGGTGGGTTTATCGTCACCATTTAAACTGCATTTCAAATCAGTTTTTTAATACGTATTCAGATGATTTACTGAAGTAAAAGCAGCAATGCTACAATGAAAAAGTAAAGTTACTTACAGGTGAAAAAAGTGGTCTCTTAGATTATTACGTATTATGTTATTGGATTATTAAAGGAACCAGTGAGTGCAGTTGCAGATTGCAACTAACTAAACAATTAAAATGGACTGAAGTGTGTAGGAGAAACTACAGTGGCTGCGAAACCCTATATACAGCCAGTGTTTGGTTTGTCCATTGTGGGCTACTGTATAAACATGGCAACTGGCAGAGTCTGTAGATAAAACTGTTTCGAAAACAAAATTCAGGTGATTGTACACTAATGAAAACATACCTATGAATATTATATTTCATAACTGTCAATAGATCCTCCTCAATGTTACACACTGGACCTTTAATACTGATACATTAATGTGTAAGTAGCATTATACTGTTGTAGTTTGGGGCTTAACTAATTTATACTGTTCGATAGTACCACCTAGAAATGTTTATATAAAATCACTGTTAATCACTGTAGCAGAGTCGATGTATAAAGTGTCATAAAATAGAAATACTAAATTGTACTTTAGTGCTTGTGTAAATATACTATAATGGTTTATTCCACCACTGATTTAAACTCTATTAGACCTAAAGTATATTGCTTTTCTTTAACAAATACCAGCCAAGCAGAGAACAAACACCCACCTTCTCCTGGTACTGCCTCCTGGAGGAGTCCAGAGACTGAATGAGTGCAGTTGCGTGACCCACAAACATGGCAAAGCAGGTAGCGCCCACAATCATGCTGAGGATGGTGAGCCACACATCAGCCATACCGATGGGGGGATACAAGCCGTACCCGATGCACAGCATGTGACTCATGGCCTTGAACAGGGCGTAGGAGTATTGCTGACCCCAAGTGTCATTCTGTAAAGCACAAAGAGGAGGAAAGAGAAAGTTTATCAATATCCACATTGCTGGAACACAAATTACTTTAAAATCACGCCTTTATTTTCCAAGGTTTTTATTTTAAAAACATCATATTATGATTATTTTGACAGATACTGCGATTGCAATATATTCACGATTAATGTAGGAATGATCATTTTTGAATCACAAATTTTACTGAAATTAAAATGTTAAGATTATGATGATGTGACATTTTTTGCTGCCTGTATCAAACAAACATTCTCTGAAACGTCTCTTCAGGAATATTGTACTTCATTATAGTGCTGTTTTGTCACACATTTTACATTTACATTTATCAAATAATTGCAGCTTCTGGGATAAAATAATATAATATTTTGATTAATTGTGCAGCCCTAGATGGCTTTGAAGCATCCTACCGAGGGGCTCATATCACCCTTTAACAGGCTGACTTATGAACTTGCATTATTCATTTTATGTTGATCAGCTAATTAATTATCATGACAGTGACCAAACAACCTCGCAACTGCCATCAGATTTTGACTCAAATGTTGCTGAATCCTGATTGGTGCACCGAAGTATGTGACCTTTATCCAGCTGAGACTGGCAAAACAGAAAATACACAAAAAATCTCTTGTGGAAAACTGAAAATGTTGTGTTCAAGCAGGACCCTGTCACTCATAGTAGTTATTGAAAACACAAGTTCATACGTTCAGGGCCTTTAAGAGGAACACATTTGATGCAGTCTGACCGATAATAATCCACTTACCACCATCTTGTTTCTGGTGACCCAGCAGTCAGCAGGAAAGTCCTGCAGCATGGGAACCAGGAACTGCAGACAGCCGTCCCAGTGACACAGCAGCAGCATCATACCAATCAGGTTCATGATACGCACCATGGCGCTGGCCAGGTCATAGGTCATATGGAAAACCTGTAACACAGATTATCAGCATTAATGGAACTGAAACGATCAAACGCTCATCTCTTTGTAAATAAATTTAAATTCTCCCTCATGCAATCAGAGGATTTGAAATATACAGTAGGTCCTGCGTGGGCTGAAGGACACAGTGGTCCTATCCCAGACCACATTGTTCTTAATCTTCTGTAGACCACCAGAGGCTGTTTCAGTGTTGCATAACCATCTGCAAGCAACATTAATGGTCTATGGGGAGTACAGCCTCAGTTGGAATTATAGAAATAAGATAATGCAGGAAAATATCTGTTATTAAGTAGGTTGATTGCGTGTGACCTTCAGAGGGGAACCAACAAATTAAATCTACAGCTTTCAACAGCTTTAAGAATATGGACATTTGTTTTTTACAATAAGCGGTATCATGTGTTTTTTCCCTGAAAGAAAAAAAAAGTAGAGAAATCTGCTAATGCAAGGGAAAACTCATTATAAACGTCACTTCAGTCAGAGGAACATTTGAGAACATGGCTGCTTTACTTTCATAAACTGATTAATCTTCAGTTCCAGGAAATGTCAGAAAGTGAGAGATGCCCATCACGCGAGGAAGTTGGTGTCTTTAAATGACTTGTTTTGTACAACCAGCAGTTTAAAACCCAAAGATATTCAATTTACTACAGAATTTATGAACATTTTTCTTTCAATTATCAAAATTGCTGCTGATTAATTTTCTGTTGAGTAATTGGGAGGTTATTGACTAACTGTTACAGCTTGCTAAAGTGAGGTCCTATATGAAGAACCTATCCCAGGATTTACCTCCTCCCACTGGTGGATGTAGCGAATGAGTCTGGAGAGGCGCAGCAGCCTCAGTAGACTGAGGATCTTGGTGAAGCGGACGATCCTCAGGGCTCGGGCTGTCTTGTAAAAGTCTGAGTCAATGCGTGTCTCTACGATGAGAAAGATGTAGTCCACAGGTATGGAGGAGATGAAATCCACCACGAACCAGCTCTTCAGGTACTTGATCTTGATCTGCTGCGGGTCCAGGACGATCTCTGTATTGTCCTCCTTGACGATGCCCGTGCGGAAATTAAGGACCAGGTCCATGAGGAAGAAGGTGTCCGAGACCACATTGAAGACGATCCAGGGCGGCGTGTGCTCGTCCTTGAAGAAGGTTATGCCCACAGGGATGATGATGAGGTTTCCCACCATCAGCAGCAGCATGGTCAGATCCCAGTAGAACCTGAAACACACATAACTCATATTGTAGATGACAGCACGCCAAAGTCATTTAGGCCCAGAAACAGTCTTTGGATGAATCACCATAAACTTCACTCATATATGTAGGTGTGTTTCCTGCTGGATGCAGAGTTATTTTAATGTTTAATATTATTTGTTTGCTCTCTTATAATCTTTTATATACATATTATTGTGTCTGTTTGTATCATTAAAGTGATGTTTTTATGTTTGATGACTCTTGGAAGAAAAGACCAATTGGGCTAAAAGAGATCCTAATAAAAAATAAAATTGATAAATAAATCAAATACCTTTCACAGAATAACTGAGCTGAATACTTTTTCAGGATGCATAAGGGATTTTTTGTGCATTGTGTGCATTTTTATGCCCTTCTGAGATTTGAGAGTGGAGAGAATCCTTAAGAGGAGATCAGATTGAAGAATAAAGAATAAAGTGACCAGACCAACAGATCAGCAGCTACTTTGATAATTAATTAATCCT